AGGTGGAGGTTGCAGTGAGCAGAGATCATGCCACTGCACTCCAGCCTGAGCATCAGTGCAAGACTCCATCTCAAAACAAACAAACAAACAAAAAAAAAAAAAAAAAACTTTTTTAAAAACGTGGATAAGTTCTACTTTGTAAGTGGTTTTTTTTGTTTTTTTTTTTAAATTGAAATTAGAGACAAGGTCTCTTTGTTGCCGAGGTTGGTCTTGAACTCCTGGATTCAAGCGATCCTTCCACTTTGGCCTCCCAAAGTGCTGGGATTACAAATGTAAGTCACCACACCCCATCTATAAGATATTTTAATGGTTAAATGACAGTTGCTATAAAAGCATCTAGTATGAGGTCTGGTACATTATAAAAGCTTGTGTTTCTTTATTTCAACTCAAGTTGATATTACAAAATTAAATGAAGAATTGGAAGCTGCACTGAGGAATATCAGGATTCCTGTTTTTTGATGCTTGTTTTGAGACAGAGTGTCTCACTCTGCCTCCTGAGTAGCTGGGATTACAGGTGCCCACCACCACATCCAGCTAATTTTTTTGTATTTTTAGTACAGATGGCATTCACCATGTTGGCCAGGTTGTTTTCTAAGCCCTGACCTCAAGTGATCTGCCTACCTCGGCCTCCCAAAGTGCTAAGATTACAGGTGGGAGCCACCACGCCCAGCCAGGATTCCTGTATTTTGGTTGATAATAAAATTGTAATTTCATTCTAGGCTGCTTATAATTCCAGCTACTCAGGAGGCTGAGGCAGGAAAATCCCTTCAACCCAAGAGGTAGAGGTTGCAGTGAGCCGAGATCATACCACTTCACTCCAGCCTGGGCGACAGAGTAAGACTCCATCTCTAATTCCATTCTATTGCTTCTAAGATTAAAAAAAAAAAAAAAATTCCATTCTACTGCTTCTGACATTTAAAAAAAAAAAACACACTTCCCCTTATCCCTTGCCCACTGTATTAACTTCCAGTTGCTAAAAGTTAATCTATTCTAAAAATGGAAGGCAAAGGAACAAGACAGGATTGGCAAAAATCTAGACTTAAGAGCAACACATAACTGAGGTGTATTTAGTGCACATTTTATTCCAATGTCTTTCACTCATTAAAACCTTTCACCTGGCTGGGCATGGTGACTCATGCCTATAAATCCCAGCTACTCAGGAGACTGAGGCAGGGGAATCACTGGAGTCCAGGAGAGGTGCAGACCAGCCTGATTACAAGGCCTGTCTCTATAACAAAATTCACCCACAAACCCCTTTTTTTTAAAAAAATGTTATTCTAAGTTACTAAACAAGAATCATATCTGAAAAAGAATATAGAAATGAAAAACCTTCAGGATGGTGTATGACAGATATTGTTAAAGGAGAAAAATAAATGAATTATCAGATAAAAATTAAAGCATACTAAGGCCAATTTTTGTTGTTGCTGTTGTTGTTGTTGAGAAAGTGAGTCTTGCCCTGTCGCCCAGTCTGGGTGCAGAGGTGTGAACATAGCTCACTGCAGCCTTGACCTCCTGCCTCAACAATCTTCCTATCTCAGCTTCCCACATAGCTGGAATCACAGGTCCATGCCATCATGCCCAGCAATTTTTTTATGTTTGTAGAGATGAGGTCTCACTTTGTTGCCCACGCAAGTCTCAAACTTCTCGTCTCAAGTGATCCTCTTGTCTCAGCCTCCCAACTGCTGGGAACCACTGTGCCATGCCACAACATTTTTACAGCTCAGAGCAAAAATCTTTCACAATTCAGAAAGATTTTTATTTTCTTCAATTCATTTTATTTATTTATTCTACTTTTTATTTCAAACAGAATATTCACTTGGTAAGTAAAACAATATGTTTTGCATTTTGGGGTTTTTTTGAGACAGTCTCACTCCGTTGCCCAGGCTGGAGTGCAGTGGTGAAACCCCAGCTCACTGCAGCCTCTGCCTACCAGATTCAAGTGATTCTCATGCCTCAGTCTCCCAAGTAGCTGGGATTACAGGTGCATGCTACCACACCTGGTTAAGTTTTGTATTTTTAGTAGAGATGGGGTTTTACCATGTTGGGCAGGCTGGTGTCAAACTCCTGACCTTAAGTGATCAGCCAAGCGTCAGTCTCCCAAAGTGCTGGGATTACAGACATGAGCCACAGTGTCCAGCCCAAGAATATGTTTAAAGAAAAGAAAAGTACAATTTTTACTGAGGTTTTGTAAAACAAAGACCTACTACATGCAACTACAAATAATTTAGGGCCCAAACAAATTCAAACTTCAACATATTTGGTCAAAATGCAAAATTTCCACTGGGAAAAAAACAGTATATGTAGACACTCTACAGTCTTGTAGATTTTTAGATGAACAAGATTTTTAGATTTCAGATGAACAAGATTTTGACCTTTAAGCTGATTTTAAACCTGTAATTAAAAAAAACAAAAAGGGAACCCAAAATTATACAAGGAAATGTGCCCTCCAATCTAAAAACAAACAAAAAAAATGTTGACTGGAATGTACAAGTAACCACTGACTCTTCAAATTACAAAAGACAATGTTGCAACTGCCACATCCTTCTCCCTATTGCAACCAGTTGCCTTGGATTCTCCTCATTGATTTAACAGGAAAGTAAGTGTTTAAAGCCTGAACAATGGTGAAATTTTCATCAGCAAGATGTGCCTTTTGCATTCACTCTACAGCACCAAGACAGTTATGTGCACACACCAGACTTAAATGCCACGAGATTTATTTACCAATAGAAACAGGAATTAGTTTAAAGACAGCACAATAGATGAGGACACAAGTGCAGCTGCCTTACTATCAAAAAACAAGCCCAGGCCTCACAAACTTGTTTTATTTTGATACAAGTTTCAGTATCACTCAATGTACACAATACTCTCAAAAGTAAAGTTCTTCTTATACACACAGCATGTGAATGAAGACTTCTGAAATATTCTTTTTAAATGCTACACAAATCCTCAAAGTAACCGGATTATAGAAAAACCATGAAAAAAAAAATAAGAATGTGAATAATGAAACTTCTATTTCTAGACAGTCTTCCCTCTACTGCAAATCTAAATGTGTTCTCAAAATGTATAGAAGATGTTGGAGTTATTGAAATTTTGGCATCTCTTCCCAATTTGCAGCTAACAATAATTAGAATATGGGAAACAACTCTTGAAAACTTCTAATATTTTAATTAATGTAGAATTTATGTTACAATCAAGTTTAACAAAAGTTCACTATAATATTCCCTACAACTTAATCAGTATCTTGCCCTCTTTATTTTATGTTCAATGATTCCTTTATTTCAAAAACAAAGACATCACATGGTTTGTGACCAACACCAGTAGCTAGAAGTATTTCCAAATCACTTCTCTCAACTTAAAAAAATAATAATAATGTGAAACAGAGCTCAAAGCTACATTCTCTAAGAGAAAAATGCTGTAATTATTTCACTTAAAAATCAATAGCTGAGTCATAGTAACAAAATTTCACAAAAAGCTGAACTTTCTAAGGTACGCTTTAAAAATTACTCCACTAGCCACACTGTCCTGGAAACCATCCTACAAGCCCGTCCTCGACAATCTATTTGTGTCTGCTGAGTCCTTCAATTATGCAGAACAAAAAAGTTTCAAAAACTAATCGCAACAACAGCAATCAAAGGAAGTGGGTTTTTTTTTTTTTTTCGGTTTTTCTAACAAGCAATAGCCCTAAGCTCCAATAAAATTAACACCCAAAAATGATCAAAGGGCAAAGGCAAAAAGCGTTCTTAAATTTTCTCTAAGTAGCAGTTCCTTAGTTTTACAATTCTTTTCCTTGTTTTTCACTGAAAGGAGAAGAAATCCAATTAAGTGTTAAGGATGAGAACAGTTAGTTCCCAGGCAGAGGATGCAATTTACAATCCAGGCTTGGCCCAGACATCAGCGGGCACACGCACACGCCAATGCTCAGAGGAAGCTTTCAAGAAATGTCACTATCTAACGGAAGTGTTAAGGCCTTGTATTTGAGAGGCCAGCTCTGTAAACAAATACACTGTAAAACACAACCCAGAAAAACTCCATTGTCCAAAACAACTCAAGAGCTTCCTACCATACTCAAAACAGAAAGAAGCTGTGTCCTGGACAGCCTCAGGACGACCGCCTCTCACATGGAAAGAAGGGCAGCCCATGTGAGTCGGAGTTGCCCCCATGTCAGCTCCGTGACAGATCCACTGGGAGCATCCGACTGTGATCCCAGCCCTCCAGGGCAGAGGCTGCTGGAAGAGGAACACACATGCAATCTTCGCGGCCCTCCTACTTCCGTTCTCAAAACAGAAATGCACTTTTCTCCTAGTCCTCCGCCCTCAGCCCAGAACCTCTCGACAGCTGTGCCCCCTTCAACGAGCTGAATGGAAAGAAAAGCCAAGTAGTCATCAACCAGGGACCATGGAATGCGGCTGGTCACAGAGCTTCCCCCTGCGATTCCCGCGGGCGCCCTCCGGAGAGTCGCTCTGGCGGGGGGCACCGAGAAGCAGAAGTCGGCGTCCCAGTTCGCCCCGGGGGAAGGGGGACAGAAAAGCGCAAAGAGGAACTAAGTCAACTGCAAGGCGAGGTTCTGAAAGCTCCTTCAAACAGGGGGCGGGGAGGAGGTGGAAACTAAGAAGGGGCGGAAGGAAGGGGAAAGGAACAGCAGCCAGAGGAGGAAGGGGGCGAGAGCGAGCGCCAGCGAAGGAGACGAGACTTCGCGATCGCGGCTGCACCCCATTTCCCCCAGCGTTAGCGGGTGCGCCGGCCTTCGGGGCGCTCCGCCCCAGCAGAGGGCGAGGAAAGGAATAAGGAGGCGACGTCCCCGTCCCCGCCACTTCCTCGCCCCTCAGGAAGGCTCGGTGGAGACTGCAGTGCCCTCGCGGAATGGGAAGCGGCGGCAACGGCCGCTCGCCCCGTCGGAAGGCGCGGACGGCGGGGCCTCCTCCAGCTGGGCGAGCCCGGCATTCACGCCCCCAGCGCCGTGGAGGCAGCTCCGCGGTGACGCCGGCCGGCCGTGCGGTTACCTGAAGCGGGGCGAGTCCTTCAAACACTCCTCGAAATCCACCGTCATCTTCATCCGGCCTCCGCCTCGCCTCGCAGGCGGCGCTGGCAGAGCCGAGGGGGCCGCGGGAGCGGCCGCGCTGGGGACGCAGACGGCTAGAGCGAGCGCACGGCCGCGACTAGCGTAGCGCGGAGCTGCGGAGGGCGCCTTGCCCGCTGGTCATAGCAGCTGCGAAGACGGCGACGGCTCGTCAGGCCCCAGTCCGGCCCCTCTTCCTCCCGCCCCAAGGAGAGCACTGGCCGCAGGGAAACCGCCGGGGAGTGACAGCCGCTGCCAGCCAGCCACGAACCTGGCGGCCAAGGGCGGAGCATCTGACAGCACCGCCTGCGGGCGCCCGGGAAACGGGTCTGAGTGACGGCAATCCGAACCAATGAGCAGCGCGACCGTGGGCGCCTCCTTGCCACAACCGCCCCCGAGGGCCAACCGGGATGCGCGGGCGTCGCTAGGCGGGACGCACCGGTTGCTGGGAGGCCGGCAGCTGAGGCTTCTTGGGAAGGAAGTCACGTGGCTGCGGCCGCGCTTCCCTCGGAGCCCCCGCCTCTTCTCCTGCTCCCAGAGCCCCGCCCTGCTGAGCTGCTACCCGGGAGGAGACGCCTCCTGCAGGTTTGAGGAAGGAAATTTGTTTTTTAAAGCAGTTTTGGCAGAAGTCTGAAGAGGTTAGAGGCAGAAATTATAAAAGGAAGAGATAGGCTAAGCCACTTCTTCCTTTCAGTTTAGAGAAACTGAGGCCAGGAGACGAGCGAGGGTAACTTTAATGATAAAATCCATCTTTCACATATTGGTTTCATCGCTTCATAATTTGGAAATTGCTCCCATGTACATCTTCTCATATAACCAGAGGCCACTTCCTGAAGGAGCTGGCGTTTGGGTTGGACATAGGATTTAGGCAGGTATGGGAGGTAGGGTGCTTCGTGTGGAGGAACTCCTCTCAAAACTGCAGAAAACATTCCCCCTCACTGACAATTTGCTCCCAATGGTTTTCACCTGTTCTGCAATGGTGGCGTTCTGAAGACCAGGCTCATCGTACTTACCTTGCAACACCTACGCCTCTAATGAGCACTTTTTCTAGAAGCACTTTAAGATATTTATCATCTGATCCTCACAGTGATCCTACAAGGCAAGTATTTACCATACTCCTTGATTTTTAAGACGCCATTGACTGTAAAAAGTATAAGGATGTATTATATTTAAATGAATAAGTTTTAAGCCAACCTGAAAAGCATGGGCATATCTATAAAAATGCATATGTAGGGTGTTCTAACAGCATGTTGGCTCTGAGTGAGAATCTGGAGGCAAACTTCCTGGATTTACATTCTAGCTTTCTCGCTTTAAAATGAACATAACACCACAAAAAAGTTGTCAAGTTAACATAGTGCCACATATCAATCATTCAGTAAATGTTGACTGTTATAATTGTACCACTTTCCTCTTTAGTACTGTAATCAAAGGGCTTAAGTCTAAGCCCTCTCACTTTCACTGTCTGAAGATTTTGTTTGTCTCAAAAACAAACAAACAATCTCGTTCTGTTCCCCAGGCTAGTCTCAAACTCCTGGCCTCAAGTGATCCTCCTGTCTCAGCCTCCCAAAATGCTGGGATTACAGGTGTGAGCAACGCACCCAGCCTTCTAAAGTTTTTTTTTTTTTTTTTTTTTTGAGACGGAGTTTCACTCTTGTTACCCAGGCTGGAGTGCAATGGCGCGATCTCCGCTCACCACAACCTCCGCCTCCTGGGTTCAGGCAATTCTCCTGCCTCAGCCTCCTGAGTAGCTGGGATTACAGGCACGTGCCACCATGCCCAGCTAATTTTTTTTTTTTTGTATTTTTAGTAGAGACGGGGTTTCACCATGTTGACCAGGATGGTCTCGATTTCTTGACCTCGTGATCCACCTGCCTCGGCCACCCAAAGTGCTGGGATTACAGACTTGAGCCACCGCACCCGGCCTAAAGTCTTAATATAACCTTTTTAACATCTGGCTAAGTATAACATAGTGACATACTGTTTTTCATAACCCATCAAGAGATAGCTTGATGACTTTAGCATCTTTAGAAATTAACCGTATAGGCAGAACATGGTGGCTCACACCTGGAATCCTAGCAGTTTGGGAGGCCGAGGTGAGCAGATCCCTTGCTCCAGTAGTTCCAGACCAGCCTGGACAACTCTACAAAAATAGCCAGGCACATGCCTATAGTCCTAGCTACTCAGGAGGCTGAGGTGGGAGGGTCACTTAAGCCTAGGAAGTCAAGACTGCAATGAGCCTTGATGATGCCACTACACTCCAGCTGGGTAGACAGAGCAAAACACTGTATCAAAAAAAAAAAAAAAAGAAAGAAAGAAAAAATAACAGTGTAAGGCATTTTGAGGCATTTCAAAAAATATACAAGCGTTATATACATTTCTTCTTTGCTTATAAACTTCTTTTTTTAATTGTGTATTCCTGGAATCTACATAGCTTTTCTTGATAGCTAAAGACAGACTATTGACTGTTAAATGTTCAGGGTCCTCAAGCACATTAGTGGTCAGGCCAACCTTCTCTAATATTGTAACTTCAATGTCAAATTTACCAAGAGAGTCGGCAATCTCTACTACATTTGGTTGCGTTCCTGATATGTGACAGCTAATCTGCATGTACAATAACTTCTTATTTTAATACTTCACATTGTAGCCTTTTAGAAGATACCTAAAGTGACACTTTGGGGTTCAAATTAAAATTCAACTGCATGACACCACAAAAGCAAATAACTAAGCTAATTATCAAGTGAACATCTTTCTGTGGATGGCTAAATTTGCATATACCCAGTTAGTGATAACACTGTCACAATTTTTCTTCCTTGCCCTGTGATAAAGCAAGCACTTTGGGATATCAATTGTAAGATATGTCCTAAATAAAAAACATTAAAGTGGGATGGGGTGAGAGCAGTGAGTCAGTCTTAGAATAAAAGAAATACAATATTATTATCCTCAACTTTCTTTCTTTTTTTTTTTTTTTTTTTTTTTTTTGAGATGGAGTCTTGCTCTGTCACCCAGTCTAGAATGCAATAACACGATGTCAGCTCACTGCAGCCTCCTGCCCCCAGGTTCAAGCGATTTTGTGTCTTAGCTTCCTGAGTGACTGGGATTACAGGCATGTACCACCACACCAGGTTAATTTGTGTATTTTCAGTGTAATAATTGAAATCAAGGTCTCAAGATAAAAAAATAATAATAACTTAGCAGGTGACTCAGGCCAAACACAGGCAGCATGATGCCAGATCCTAACTACAAAATGCCCTCCCTCCCCTTAAGAATTCTGACTTTGCAGTATGACCCTGCCTTATGTAGCAATCTCCCTTTCATCTTCTCTTTAAAACACCACTCTTGGGCCGGGTTTGGTGGCTCATGCCTGTAATCCCAGCACTTTGGGAGGCCAAGGTGGGTGGATCATGAGCTTAGGAGATCGAGACCATCCTGGCCAACATGGCGAAACCCCACCTCTACTAAAAATAGAAAAATTAGCCGAGCATGGTGGCACATGCCTGTAGTCCCAGCTACTCAGGAGGCTGAGGCAGGGGAATCACTTGAACTGGGAGGCAGAGGTTGCAACAAGGTGAGACGGCACCACTGCTCTCCAGCCTGGGCAACAGAGTGAGACTCCATTTCAAGAAAAAAATAAATAAATAAAAATAAATAAAAAGATATAAATTATCAAATCTTAAATGTCTTCCAAATTTCTTCTCCCAAGACTTCTCAGTCTCTCCCTACAAACCGTTTGGAAACCCTGAACAACCAAAGATCTTCCTAGAATGCTGCTAATTGCCTGAGAACACTGTTGACCATACATCCTCCTGAGCAGAGGCTGTTCAATCTCTCCTCCCTGGTATCCACTCAGGATACATAATCAGCAAGAGCCTTATACTTGATGACTTACAATTTACATTCCATCTTCATACAAGAATGTATCTTCATTTGAAGCTAATGCCATACCACTGTCTTACTTTCCTCGTTGCTATTATCCAACAGTTTCTAGTAACTCCCTGCCTTAGCCTGGCTAATTGCATTGCAAATTATCTCAAGAAAAGGAAGTTACGGGGCCAAGCGCAATGACTGACTCACACCGGTAATCCCAGCACTTTGGGAGGCTGAGGCGGCTGGATCACAAGATCAAGAGATCAAGACCATCTTGGCTAACAGAGTGAAACCCAGTCTCTACTAAAATACAAAAATCAGCTGGGTGTGGTGGTGCCCACCTGTAGTCCCAGCTACTTGGGAGGCCGAGCCAGGAGAATTACTTGAACCCAGGAGGCAGAGGTTGCAGTGAGCCTAGATTGGGCCACTGCACTCACAGCCTGGTGCCTGGCAACAAAGCAAGACTGTCTTTTAAAAAAAAAAGGATGTTACGACGAGGGTGACTGTGGGCAGTACTGGAACTGACAAGGGCAGAAACTCAGGCAACTCTCAGAACTGGTTTTCTCTCTTGCCATCTGCATCCTCTCTCTCCCCTACTTTCCCAACCCCATCAGCTTTTCTTTCTATTCTCTACTAGGTTCTACTCCCTTGTGAATCTGGTTTGCGTAGAATCTGTTATTGCTCCTGATTCCTCTAGAGGCCCCCAGCAGGTATGTAAAAGAATGAAACTTGCACGATGTGAGCAGTATGGGGTGGTGGAGGCCATGGTGAACAGAAAGCATATGCCCTGTGTACGGCTTAGCTCGTCAGTTCTCACCATACCAGACCTCAGATATAATGAGAGAAGCCAAACAGCCAGATTTTCATGTGAAATCTCCCTATTGTCAAATATTGACAGCCCTTTCAAAATATTATAAAACATTGCACCAGTTATAAAAATAAGTTTCAGGGCCACTCTGCAGCTTCTGCTGGATATTTCTTGACAATTATTTTTGTTTTTTTTTCCTGAGAGAGAGTTTCGCTCTTGTTGCCCAGGCTGGAGTGCAATGACGCAATCTCAGCTCACTGCAACCTCCACCTCCTGGGTTCAAGCAATTCTGCCTCAGCCTCCTGAGTACCTGGGATTACAGGCATGTGCCACCATGCCTGGCTAATTTTAGTATTTTTTAGTAGAGATGGCTTTCACCATGTTGGCCAGCTGGTCTCGTCAAACTCCTGACCTCCGGTGATTGATCCACTGGCCTCGGCCTCCCAGAGTGGTGGTATTATAGGCATAAGCCATTGCACCCGGCAGACGATTCTTTATACATTCATTCAACTTAGGCTCCTGGTGTTAATTGCTTCAATCTGTTTCCCAACTCCCAGATCCCAGGAGACAATTACGTTAGCCCAGCTCATCTTTTCATATC